AGGTAACGGGATCCGCGGAGGGGCCGCGGCGGGAGGGCTGCGGGGGAAAGTTGGTGGATGAGATGCGCCGGGGGGCTCCGGGGGCTGCGGGCTCTGCCTGCCCCGGGGCTCGGCCAGCCGGGAGGGAAGGGCTGCGGACAGGGCAGGAGGGGAGCCCCGCGCCGCTTCGCGCATCCCCGCTGTCCGCACCCGCGCACCTCCCCGCGCATCCCTGCGCGCATCTCCGCGGAACTCCCGGGGCGTCCCGCACCCCTCGCTCGGCGCCGAGCCCGAATCCCCCTCCCGCACCCCGCGGGGGCTCGGCCGGGAGACACTTAACTGGAACCGCGGCTCGCTAGCAGAAAGTTGCGGGGCAGAGGCGCGGGAGCGGGCGGGAGGTGCCGGGGGCTCCGCGGGGTCCCGCCGCCCCGGGGCCGCTCTGCGCGGCCAGGGGCGCAGCCTCCGCGCCCGCGGACACGCACCATCTTCCCCCGGCTGCCGAGCTCTCCTCCGCCGGTGCAATATGGACGCACCGCTCCCTCCTAATTAAATTGCTGCATCATTCATTTTCTGACGCGGGAGCGACATGGGGTACGGCAGGCTTCGTGCACTGACACCCCCCGTTCGGAACGGGGGGGGAGGCGGGGAAAAAGGGAGAAAGGGGGAATCACAACAGTTTGTTCTCGCAACAAGCTCGCACGGCGGGTTTGGCAGCGACTCGGGAAAGCGAGCTAGACCCCGCTGGGTTTGGGGGGCAGCCCCCCCGTCCCCACGGATGCCGCCCGTGGGGCAGGGTCGGGGTGCGCGGAGGGAGCCCTGACCTTGCAACTTTCCCAAATGCCCCCGAATATCGCTCGTTTTCCTTGCCTGGGCTCCTGCCGTCGGGTCGTGCAGGGGGGCTGGCAGGGGGAGGGAGGGGGGGATGGCCCTGGAATGGGGAGCGGGGAGCGCTGCGGGGATGGACGGACATCCCGGCGGGTCCCCCCGCAGGCAGGGCCGGCCCCGCCACACACGGACACCCCTGTGCCCCCTGCCCCGCTGTGACACGGGACTGTCCCGGGGATGCCCCGGGGGAGGAGGAGGAGGAGGAGGATGGCCCCGTACCTCCCTTTCCATCCTTAATGCCCCCGCAGTTTCCCAGGGGGCTGAGGAGACTCAGATGGACAGAGAGGCTGCTCTCCCGGGGTTTGGCCAGGCCGTGTCCCCTTGTCCCCTCAGCCAGGAGGCAGAAGTCACCGCGGGCCATCCCATCCCCTGCATCTCCCTCCAGCCCCAGCAGCTCCCGGCCTTTGTGTCCCTGCTCCGCACGCTGGGGACAGGACCGCTGTGAGTGTGAGTGGCAGCAGCTCCAGCGAAGGGTACGGCTGATGTAACCAAGATTAGGACGTCACTCGGTTATTAATGGTAATTATTACTATTGGCAAGCGAGCTATCTCCTTGCCGAAGCCCATCCCGGAGCTGCGGGGATGCTGTCAGCAGGGTGGGAGCTGGCAGGTGCCCTTCGGCTGCCTCTTGCCAGCCTCAGTTGTCATCTCTGAAACGCACCTTTCCCCCCTGACAGCCTTGAGAGAATAAGGGAGGGAGAGCCAACTTAGAGGTGGATACTTGGGTAGTTATTGTACCTTGCAGAAATAACCTTACAAGGTTCTGTTTCCACCAGAGGAGAGCGTTCCCCCGCTGCAGTCACTGCTCAGCAGGCACCGAGTGCTCCAGGCAGCCTGCAGTGGGAACCATCCCCTTCCCTTCCTTTCCCAGCAGAAGTGGCAATGCTGGAGAGAAAAGAGGGGGTTTTCTCCTAAAGCTCGCCCTGACTGTCCAGAAAGAAATACTCCAAGCTTTAACAGCCTCTCTGTCTCCAGCAATCCATGGCAAGGGCAGAAGCAATAAATAGTGTAAGGGCGAGGGAAACTGCTGTAATTGTTACAAATGGCAGCTGCTTCCCGGCTCACTGTGCTCTGTTAAGGTCGGGAGCAGTTCGGAGGTGCTGGGTCCGGGTGTTGGGAGCGTTTGGACGCAGCTCCAGCTGCATTTCTGCCCAAAAGCCCTGGGAATTCAGGGATGCCAGCTCTGGGGGCAGGAGGAGCTGTGGGAAGCCCAGGGTGGCAGGGGGAGCGGGGAGCCCCACTCCTTGATCCCTGATGGGATCTCCTGGCCGGAGGAGCTGCCAGCCCTGTGCTCCAGGGAGAGATGCTCCAGGAGCAGGGCAAGCCCAGGGCTCAGAAGGAATATCCCGTGGCTCTCCCTGCCTTGGGAGCCTCCTCAGTGGAACCTGGGAATGCTGGGATTTAGGGAAGGGCAGGGCGCTGGGCTGTGCAGAACGCAGAGCTGAACTCTGAGCACGCACAGAGTGGCCCTGGGCAGAAACACTCCCAGCTGTCTGCTCATGCCATTAGTCTGGGCTCAAAGCTCAGCTTAACCTCCTTCCCTGCTCTGATGACCCCTCTCCTTGTCCCCATGAGATTTCTATATTCCACCGTGTCTTTGTATTCAATATTGAGCTTCCCCTCCCCTTTTATTTTTA